GGGAAAAAGTCAATCTAAAAGGCTACATACTATACGATTCCATGTATTTAGCATTTTTGAAATTATAGAGATGGGAACAGATTAACGACTGGCAGAAATTAGATGTATCAGGCAGAGGACGGATGTGACTGTACAGGGGCAGGTTGTGGGAGCTCTGCAGAGACAGAACGAAGCTGTATCTTGTGGTGGTGGTGGTAGGAGAGACAACTGCATAGAAACACACACACACAGAACTTACGTAAAGCTGCTAAAATGTGAATATGCCCTGAAGATTGTAACAAGGTCAATTTTCTGGTTTGGATACTGTACTGTAGTTATGCAAGATGTTACCATTGGGGGAATAGCTAAGGCAGAAAGGGTGGGGAGAAACTTTCCTCCAAGACTTTCCTCTACATTTCTTGCAACTTTTTGTGAACCTGTAGTTATTTCCTTCGAAAAACTCCCTTTTTAGCTTATTGCAGTGTAAATCTCTTTCATCCAGTAAGTCCAAACAACCACCATCACTTAATGTCACTTTGAGTTTATGGATTCATTTCAGAATTTTAAATTATATCTTAGCACCAGCTTATTTGAATAAGTTTTTCAGAAGATGTAAAAATATCTAATGAATTCTCAAGCTATTGAGCAGACTATTTTTAGCAGAAATAAGACAGCAGAACTGTCCAAGAACAGATATTTTAAAATTTATCGTGAATAAAAGAAAAGGGCAAATTTATTGGGCTTAATTTAAATAATCAGTCCTAAATTCAGCATGCTAACAAGCACACAGACAGCCATCTCTTTCTATGTACATCAGTGTTTTCTTTAGCAATAATACACTCTGGTAGGCTCCTCCTTTTGAATGGTAAGGAGATTTCTACTTCCTCTTTAGCCTTTATAACAAGCCAAGAGAAGCGTGGAACCTAGGCCCCAGTTGTGAAAATGAGCCACTGCCTTCAATACTGTTAAATAGTGAAATCCATTCTGCCTCTGTAGGTGCAGGATGGCTACCCACAGACCTCCATAGATGTCAATCAGCATTTACCTCCTATGGAACTCCTGCCTCTTAACCACCCTGAGTCAGTGTGTGAAAGGAGGTGTTTCTCTTTCTGCTAAAAAGAGGAAGAGATGTTTAACCACTAAAAAGTGAATGTTTTTTGGTGCTAGTAGACTAAACTCATCACCCAATGCATAAATCTCTTCTCTGACATCCTTACTGAGAAAACTTCCAAAGAAGTTCTGTGATCGCATTGGCTTCGGTGGCTGTGAGCTCATTGCATATCCAGGAAGCCTTTCATTTTGGCAGTGTGTAGACCAGCATTTGCCAATGGTCCTGGATCCCACTTTGATGTGAGGTTGCCAGTGTTGTGTTTTTAAAAAGCCATACAAATCGTACTTCATTACAAAGTTATTTTTAGATAGATATGTAAGAAAAATACTGAACACCTTTGCAATAACAGTTGCTGTTGTTTGATGTTTCCTGAAGCCATGGAATTCCTACCCAAGCCCTTCAGGAATTCACCTGGGAGAACACTTAATACCTAAACTCAGGGTTCCAGGTGCCTCCTACTGGTCCAGTTCCTGTCACGTGGCACAACAAAGAGGAGTAGGGCAGGTGAAGTGATCCCTCTTTTTCTCTTCCTTTTAAGAGCTGAGGGGATCTCTGCTTCTCTATAACTACTCCATACAAGGTTACTTATCCCAGAAAACGTGAGATGATAGTCCTACCTACAATGGCCTCTACTCTTCAACAGAGATAGGTCAGTTTTCATATTTAACAGAGGCCCTCATATCCATAAAAATTAATGTAGCATTGTAATTTCTTATTAACTCCGCATTTACCGAGCATCTTCTATTAGACAGGTACAATAAGAGTTACTAGGGATAAAATTTTAAAAAGGAAAAGCTTTATTATAATTATGTATATTATTAGAGTAATAGCTGACTTTTCTTGAAGGTCACATTCTAGACTTTAAGCATCATTCGTGGATTATCTCATTTAATTTTAATCCTTCTGTCTACCTTGTGAAGCTGGTACTATTATCCTCCTTTTACAGATAACGCAATGGGGGGTTAAGTAATTTACCAAAGGTCAGCGTGCAGTAAAGCGGCAGTCGGAAGCCAGAGCCTAAATTCTTAGGGATTACCGTATTCTTAAGAAGGACACATTCTAATGAGGTTTGATCTTTAGTGTACTACGATTTCCAAAATCATTTTATGTGTTATATCTTATCTCCTAATTAAAATTTCACCTATTTAGAGCAGCACTTTCTGGAAGAGTTCTCTGCAATAATGGAAATGTTCTATTTTATTATGCTCAAAATAATGGTCACTAGCCATGGTTCTTGAGTACTTGAAATGTGTCTTCCGGGGTAAAAAACATTTTTTAGACGTTTTTATTTATTTATTTTTAGAGAGAGGGGAAGGGAAGTAGAGAGGGAGACATCAATGTTGCCACTCATGCGCCCCTACTGGGGACCTGGCCTGCAACCCAGACTTGTGCCCTGACTGGGAATCCAACCAGTGACCCTTTGGTTGGCAGGCCTGTGCTCAATGCACTGAACTACACCAGCCAGGGCAAAAAACATTTTTAATTAAATTTAAATTTAAATTTAAATGGCCACATGTGACTAGTGAGTACCGTATTTGACAGCACAGTTATAGAAAGAAAGGAAATGGTTTTATGACTTCTGATTTCTATATAAACACAAGGCTTTGGCAAATGAATGTGTTGAGTTTAATGAAATATAATGAGTGAAGAATCTTTAAGGGGGAATTTCTTCCATCCTCTAAGCTAGGGAGTAGAAATCTTTATTTTACTGGGACTTTCACTGTAATAAAATGTTAAAATAAATATGATACAGCATGCAGTCCTGTGAATTCATGAAGATAGTAAAGAGGATCCTTAACTTACATGCAATGTTTTTGAAAGGCTGACATTTTATAATTGATGGTTACTTCTTTTAAAATACAGGGGTGGGCAAAAGTACTGTGCCATTGTGATACTTTTGAATAAAGCTATTGTAATAATGATAACCTGCATGTTTTTCCCATACAAACAACTGTAAACCTACTTTTGCCCAACCCTGTACATACTTAGTTATATCTTTGCTAATAAAAAAGATCACTACTTAATTTGGGCCCGTAGGTGGAAAAAGAAAGAGGGATTTGGGTGGGAAAGGATGTAATCAGTCTAGAACTGCAACTCAATGAACATTTCCTGCAGAAGCTATATTCTAAGGCAGACCTCTTTACAAATTATGTTAAGCAACTGCCAAAATATCATTAAGTGACTTCATTATGTCACTCATACATCATATACTGTATAAATATCACACACACACATTCCTATAACTGAGTTATTTTGATTTGAGGGCAACATATCATGAATAGTAATAGGCAATTTTGAAAATAAGCTGGGGCTCTAGATCAGCTGGAGTCCCTGGAAGTGGTCAAGTGCTCATGTTTCCTGAACCCAGAGCAGTGAGTCTCCTCCCTGCTTATGCACTGGACCACAGCTTTCCTTAGAGGAACTCATCTCAAAAAGTCTAAGTGATTTTATCACGATTTGTATTGCTTTGAAACATATCTTTTCCTTTGCGTTTTAAAAAATTATTATTTTTTTATTAAAAAACTCCTGGCCGCAGTAAATTCAGCCCACTGTCCATTCCTGTGTTGCGTTTTGCAAAGGAGCCCCGCGGTCTCCCCTCCCTCCTTGTTCCCGGCCGGGTTACAGCATGCCGGATGCTGCCAAATCGCAATCCTTACAGCAATAGGGACGTAGCAATTGGACCCTCCAGCCTGACTCTTGGCAGAGAGCCGAGAGAGCTTGGGCTGGGAAGATCTGCACCGGCAGCCGAGCAGTGCCTGTGAGCTTCCCATTCCCACTTGGGTGCTGTTCATTCTCTGGTCCCATGACCAGCACGGCAAGATGATTTTAGATTTTAAAATCATAAAAGCACTCATCAAAGAACTGTGAGAACAGTTTCTCTGGACATCTCAAACCATGTTCTTTTAATTCCATGAAATCAACTCTATATTTTAGGAGTTTGATTTTCCCATGAAAATAATTTCCAAATAGCACGATACCCTAAAGAAAGAGGAAAACACCTAATTTTTCACGTTGAAATTATGAAGATGTAAACCTGAGGTCCAGTTACATTCATGATGAGTAAAGAATTGGGCGATTATTCTATAGTCTGCAAGATAATACAACATGACCGTTTGCAACTGAAACCCCAAAGCCACCGCTGTTAATTGCTTCCGAACGCCGCGAGAGGCTGTTAAGCAGCGGCAGCAACCGAAAGGAGGCTGCTATCTAATGTGACCGTGTGTGGCCTCTGACACACCAGTCCTATCAGACCAGCTGCAGGCTCTGCTTTGAGCCCCCGCCCGCCCTTCTGAGTAAGGGTAAACCTTGCGGCCAAATCCTCCTAGTCATCTTGCCGTGCTGGTCATGGGACCAGAGAATGTACAGCACCCAAGTGGGAATGGGAAGCTCACAGGCACTGCTCGGCTGCCGGTGCAGATCTTCCCAGCCCAAGCTCTCTCGGCTCTCTGCCAAGAGTCAGGCTGGAGGGTCCAATTGCTACGTCCCTATTGCTGTAACGATTGCAATTTGGCAGCATCCGGGATGCTGTACCGGGGACGGGAGCAGGAGGGGGAGGAGGAGATGGTGGGCCCCTCAGCGAAACGCAGCGCTAGAGAGGACAGAAGGCTGAAGGTACTGGTTCCCGAGCTAGAATGAAACTCTAGGCTTTAAAGCTTGAGGATAACGCTCTAACTCCAGCTCTGCTCTCAAAGCCTTACTTTCCACGTAGAGTGATGGCTCCAGCAGCCCAGCTGTAGGGCATGAAGCCCAGGGAGAGGTAAGATCCTCCCAGGCTCTGCCGCCAAGCGTCTGGCCGCCGGGGCAGCAACGAGTTCGCTGTCGGGAGGCGTCACAATGGGCCGCGGCCTGCGGAGGCCGCGCGCGCAGCTCTCCGGGGCGGAGCCGCCGGGCCGAGGTTGGGGCTGTGCGGGGGTAGCGGTGGTGCCTGGTCTCCCAGCTTCGGAGGTCGCCGGGGCGAGGAGGATGCCGCAGTTGCAGCCCGAGCCACCGAGCCTGGCCTCCGAGTTCCCCGACCCCCGCAGCGGCGGAGAGGCTCAGAGCGTGGCACTGGCCGGGCGGAGCTAGAGGCGGGCGTCTACCCCGCGTCGCGCCACCCGCAGCTCTCCGCCTCCGGCCGGGCCCGAGAGCCTGTGTAGGCGGATGCCCTGACCGCAGGCGCAGCTGCGAGGTTGGCCCGGCGCCGCCGCTCGCGGGGAGAGGCCTGAGGAGTCCCGGGGGTGGCCGCGTCCACCAGCTTCAGACGCCGGTCCCCGGGAGCGCTCGCCCCTGCGCTCCTTCTTCCTGGCCCAGCTCTTCCTTAGCAGACGTTCCCCCCACGACCCCTCCTTCCCCCGACCTAGAGGATGCGTTCCCCTGCGCGGAGCATCAGAGGCCACCACTCCCAGAAATGCGTGCGCCCGATCCCCATCTCCCGGACCCGAGGAGCCGGCGCCCCCGCCCTGTAGGTAGGTGGGTGAGGCGAGTACCAGCCTTCGCCGCCTCCCGCAGCTGATGCTGCAGCTAAGAAGAGGCGGGGGGGGGGGGGGGCGGGGGAGGCGGGGGCAGGGTCCGGAAAACTTGCCTCCCGCCTGTGTCGCTGGAGCGTTCCGAGGTGTGCTGATGGCCCTGGGCACAGCCCTTGGTTAACCTGACAACCTCTTCTTGAGCCCGGGTGGCCGAGCGGAGGCGGAGGGGAGCCTGGCCCTTCCCCGCCCACCCCCTTTGCCCCCCGCGCGCTGCGGGCAGGGGTGGGGAGGACAAATTGGCGTCTGGCTGATCGAGGGGGGGGGAAGACCTTGGATTTTCAGCAGCTCAGGTAGAACTGTGTCACCGTATTTTTTCGGCTGCGTGAGCTGATGCGTTTTTTTCTGTTTTAGCTAAAACCACCTAACTTGGAAAGCGCTATTTTAGCAGCATATAGAAGCCGCTGTGGATTTTTGTGTATTTAAGAGCTGGTTGGCTGGTATGTAAAATAGGTGGCTCAAAGCCTTATGGCCAACATTTTAGGGCCAGTTAGAGAAGGTCCTTTTATTAGTCAAGTTGTGTTGGAGATACGTGAAGCTGGGATATTCCTGTGCTGCCTACTTGGGAGCTTCCTGCTTAAATGGAGGGATGTGTTTAAGAGTGGCAAGTTTGTTACAGGTGTCGGGAGTTGACAATATGCTGGACGCATGCACTGAGCTGGCCAGCAGAGGCAGCCTTGGGCGCAGCCTAGCTTCCAACTAGGTTTACGGTTTGTATTTCTGAGAAACTGGTTAAGAATTCTAACAGGTTTTTAATTTTTCTTTAAACAGTAAGGTTTAGAGTTTTGGAAAGTGGATCATTGTATGGTCCAATTTTGTATTGAGGTATTGTGGTTTAGAGCAGGGGTCCCCAACCCCCGGGCCGTGGACCGGTACCGGTCCTTGGCCTGTTAGGAACCGGGCCGCTCAGCAGGAGGTGAGCAGCAGCGGGCCTGCGAGGCTTCAATCTTACTACCTCCTGTGCTCCACTTCCCGCTACCCCCACCCCTGTCCACGGAAAAATTGTCTTCCACGAAACGGGGACCTGGTGCCAAAAAGGTTGGGGACTGCTGGTTTAGAATTTAGGAAAATAAACCAGTGTAAACGCCAGCAGGGCAGAGCCTCCCTCTGGTTCAATCCCGAAATCCCCTGGATCTGATGCTCTTTGCGCGTTTACCGTATTATATTGGGATTAACTGTTTCAAGCTTCATCTAAAGAAAATTTAGTGTCAAAAATGTATTTTTCTGTCCTGTGGTTGTTGAAGTTTAACTGGATTTTAAAAATGGCTTATTTGTGTATATATATAGTCAAATTCAGTTAACATCTGAGTTTGAATTTTGACATTTTTAGGACCATATGCTATCCTTCTCTATGAGGTAATTCTCCCCAACTTCTAATAAAAGTTCATTTCCTGTCCAAGCTTGCACATTTCCAAGTCTTACTGGTAATCAAACTTATTTCAATTAAACTCAATTTTTAAAAAGTACAATCCATGTTTAAAAGAAAATTCTAAGTTATTCCAGAGGTAACAGTGATTTGGTTAATAAGTGACATATTAACTCACTTTAAAGTTGAGTTGTTGTGGTTGATCTAATTATAATGTATTTTATTACAGGGAAAGATAAAAATAAAATGTAGAATTGTCTATGATTCATAAATGGTTCAAAATATATGGTATACATACACATTTTTAACTATAGGGGTTTTCCTTAGGTTATAAGGATATCAGTTTCCAAGTTTGACAAACCAGGGTGGTTGTGAAATCAGAAATTTGGGAGATTCAGTGCCTTTCTGTTTTTACATTTAATGTTTTCTTGAAAAAAATCGAGGATAACTGCATTATATTTTATTTACTTTATTTTTTGCACTGTGATATTTCCTGTTTTGATTTTGTTTTGGGTTTTTTTTTTTTTTGATATGTAAGTTTTATGAGTTAGTATTAACCTCTTCACTTGCTTAACAAAATTATCTGGGTGTGGTTCAGTCATTTGCTTTCTTTCTTTCTTTTTTGTTATTTCAATACCTCTACACCATCCTCCCTACATACTACCCCAAAGACTCATTTTCACAAAACTGTGGTAAACTGCAGTTTATTCTTATTGCTTCTCCAGCCTACTTGGGTTCTTCCTAGATGAGGAGGAAATAATACTTTGAAACAAAAGCTAGTAAGATTGAAGGAACCAACAGGGGGAGGGCACATAAGAAAAATACGTTATGATTCCTTGAAACAAAGCAAAAGTTCCTTTAAGAAGTAAAGATAATTATATTTTACATATCTTAAATTTGTAATTAAGGATATTGAGCAGTTAATTTACATTGTTCTTTCTTACTTTAAACTTCTCAAAAAACTGTCCCATATGTCTCAGTAAACTCTTTTTACTTTGTTGTAGATAATAAACACTTATTTGTTCACTTGACAAACAGAAGTTGAGTGTTTAAATTGTGCTGGTACATTTGGCCTTGAAATCAGTGAAGTTGGTTCCTAATGAGAGGCATTATTCTGTGTCTACCCTGCACTTAAATGCCAATGTCTCTATGATTGGATGGTTCACTGCCTGGGCCCTGTCTACCGAGCCCCCAGTATCCTACCTCTACAGGCATCACTGGAGTGCAATTCTAAGGCTTGAATTTACTGTGTCTTACTTTTCTGTATCTTCCCTAAGCTTTTATTGCAGAAAGCTCTATCCCTTCTTTGTTAAATGCTGTCTTTTTTAATCCTGGCATAATTTTTTTTATTCCAGGCTTTTTTTTTTTTTTCACCCTAGCCCATGTATTTGTTGTTGTTTATATCTAATAGGATTCACTCAATTCACGTATGTTGGAACCCAAATTGTTATGGTTGCAGAAAAGGTATAAAAAAGAAAATTTGTAGAGCCTTGAATTTCAAGTGTGGGAACAGGTGGTTGAAGAGTAATTGTGTACTCATCGCCCCTCAACAGTAGTATAGAACGCCTTTGTTTTTGCACATACCAGAGAATATGAGTTATCTGCTCATAAATTTGATCAGAAGCTTAATTAAGAGAAATAATGTTTACATAAGGTTGACTGAACAAAGGCCATGACAATCCCGCCTTGTCCCTCCAACTCTAGGTGTTAGGCCAGGAGTCTAGCCACATCTTCAGAAACTCTGTACCTTGGTTACCTTGTTTTGCATCCTTTCCAGCGCCCCGACCCTCCTTGTGCTCACATGGAGGGATTTTATTAATAAAAATAGTCACAAGAAACCTACTGTTATGTTACTTATAAGATGTCGTTATTAAAATCATGGCCCCTTCTACAGCTCCTGTTTGAAGACAGTGCAAGAAATTCCATTCAGTTCTAAATGCCAAAGAAAAGCTTTACTTCCCTTGAACAATTATTGTGTCTATTTTTCATCATGCAAAACTGGAATCAGATAATTGATTAAATTTCCCTTTCTGATTTGGCAACAAAGAAACAGAGACAAATTTGTAACTCAATTTTAATAAACCTATAAAAACCTATGACCTTATATTGATGTTCTGACCTTCCCTTTGGTATTGAGCTTGTGTTCTATCTTGTTTTTGTTGATTCTGATTTTTATCTAGTTATATTTTCCCATTTTTGAATTTACTATTTTAAGCTGACTCACATCCTTTGTGGAACAAAGCAAAACATAAAACATAAAACCAAATAAATGAAAACAGTTGTCAAATTGATCTCTGGACATAGTATGTTTTTGATTAACAGGTTTAATCAGTTCCATTAAATGTTTTGAATAAGTATTGCAAGTTTCACAGATTTGAGTTTACATAGCCAAATAGAAAACAATGTTACATAGTTTTGCAGAACTAAATTGTACTTATTTTTTTACCTGTTAAATAAATGTCCACTTACTGCTAATTTAAAATGAGTGAAACCATTCAATTTAAGTTAGTCATTCTGTAGTACCTACCTTATATGCTATGTTAGGCTGAACAAAAGATTCATTCCATATAATTAAAAAAATCATTTTTAGCCAAAGAGCTAGCCTAAACTAGGGTAACACTAACCACTGGACCTTACATCTGATCTCTTTCTCATCAGTAATTTATTTGATTCATCTTTGTTTTAATAAATCAGATATAGATTCTTCTTTGAGCCTTTTTTATTTATCGTAAAATTTAAAAGATTGAGTTTCCTGGTTAATTGCCCAGACTTCATTCTGGTGTTTTGACAACTACCTGTTCAGTTGGTTGAATTTAACCCAGTAAATAGTTATTTACAATTACATGATATCAAATTAAGTTTGATAAGTTTGGTATGTTTTTTACCCAGGTCGAGAGAGAGAGGCAGAGACAGAGACAGAGAGAGACAGAGAGACAGAGAGACAGAGAGAGAGACAGAGAGAGAGAGACAGGCTTTTCTCAAGGGAATTAAAAAATGCAACTAGAAACATCGAAGAGGATTTGGAGAGAGATGTGAGCACGTTTTTTATATAGAGGCATCTCATTCCAATAACTTTTATGTCTTTTATAACAATAATCTTTATAGTAGGTAGTACTTTAATGTGATTCAAATGGTATAGATGGGTTTACGGTAAAAGGACTCCTCATCTTTCCCCCCTAATTTCCTGCTTTTCCTAGCCACTCGCAACCAGTATTATCGGTTAATTGAGAATCCTCCAGTAACATTTTATGTATATATAAGCAAATATCAACATTTGGCATGCTTTTTTTTTAGGTTTTTTTAAAAAAAGATTTTATTTATTTTTAGAGAAAGGGGAAGGGAGGGAGAAAGAGAGGGAGAGAAACGTTGATGTGTGAGAGAGAAATTGATCAATTGCCTCTTGCACACCCCAACCTGGGGGCCCGGCTGGCAACCCAGGCATGTGCCCCAACTGGAAATCCAACTGGTGACCTTTCTGTTCTCTGGCCAGCACTCAATCCACTGAGCCACACCAGCCAGAACTGAAGTTTTTATTTATTTTTAGAGAGACGCAAGGGAGGGAAAGAAACATCAATGT